TGTAACCATCGTCGCAGCTGCACGAAATTTATTTGCGTTTTTCTCGTCCAATAACCCCGCCAAACGGCTTGGATTCTCGTCGCCATGCTGTTGTAATAATCCTGCCACATCTGTTGAACATATTTGATCAGGTAACGCCTGAAGAGTATCCTGGTGCGGTAACCACGCCAATGACGTTGCAGAATCGTCGCGTGCTGGTGGAGACTACGGAGATGAGCGCGAGTGACGACACCGCGGAACCAGGCCTGAATTTATCAGGAATTTCCAATGTATTTTTTAGTGCTATCATCTATACCGCCCGGATTACGGCTCACCTGAATTTTACGTGCCGCGATAAAGTGTGAGCGTCTCGACAATTCGGCTTGATCGTGCTTAGCTTGGATGGCGTTTTGCAACTCGACGGGGTTGATCATAAATCTTAGCATTGTTGCCATGCTTGGACCGTTTAATTATTTGAAAGACGTTGCTATGTATAAGGTTGACACAACGTGAATAGTCGGTTGCAGAACGGTTTAGATATAATAAAGTTGGAAGAATCATTAAACTATCAAAAATTGAAGTTATTATCAACGGGTTTACTCAATAATAATATAATTACTACGCAAGCTCGGTAATGATTCTTAATATTAACAGTTTGTAAGGTGACCAGATTTCCCAGCCCTGAATTCGGGACACTTCATAAATGTGTGGAGCGGGAGAGGGGGATAAAAAGATCCGAAAATTATTTGACAATTATTGAAAATGATGACAAGTCGGTGTCCCGAATAGCACTCGAAAAAATTCTGGACAAAGGATGAAAAATCGGGACGTTGATCACCTTAGCTGCATGTGTCGAGAAGGGAGGAGATTACTCCGTAATAATGTACTTACGATATGTTCTGATGACCGCACGTCGTTGTTTTCGGCACTCTAATACTTATTTCTGCAGGAGACTTACAGGACACAAGCGAAAGACGTATGGAATACGGTTGTGTCCATGGCAGTTGCTCGGCATGAAAAGATCGCGCAGACGCGCGCTGTCAATTACGTATACCAAAAGTTCATTAGCGCGCTGAAAGTGCCAAAAGTGCACGAATGTGAACGCGCCAGTGATGCGAACGAGGTCGCGCATCTACAACGACGTGATCTACGGCGGACGTCTTAACCACTTGCTCGAGTTAGGGGCTGAGCACAATAAAAAGAATAAAGAATAAGGAATCAAGAATAAAGAACAGGAAACAGAGAATAAGGAACAGTTCAATATTGGGTGCGTTCGCTTTGAACGCTTACGCGCTTTAAGCGCTTATAAATATCGCTCACGTCGTTCACTTTGGCATTATAAGCGCTTAGAAACTGCATATTGACGTCATGCGTGACGTCATAACTCGCGCTTATATTCGCTTCTTCTATCGAGGTAGGGCAGTAAAAGCGTGAGCACTTATAAGCGCTTATTTTCCAAAGAGAATGATAAATTAGATTGCGTCGATGAAATCGACGCAATCTAACCTCCAATATAAATCTTAAAGTGAAATAGTGTTTCAAAATGACTTCCAACGAGAGTAACAAAACCAGAGTAACTCTGCAAGATGTTACAAATAATAAAATGTATACACTTGTTGTTATATCAGATGAAGCAAAACAGAAACAGGTAAATTTAGGACACCTCTCATAAAAATTTATTATTTTTGTTATTAAATCATATTTATTTTGAGTAATAAAGCACTGTCCAACGGTAATTAAAAAAAAAATAAGTAATATTTCAGCAACACTAGTAATACATTTGATGAACGGACTTTCTCACAAATTTATTGTACTTAAATCTTCATATTTTGTTGTAAAAACATGAATATGAAAGTTAAAATCGTTGATCTTAAATAAAACAAAAGTTATAAAGTGAAAAGTTATTAAAATGTGACTTAAATACTTCATCATTGTATAATGGTACAACCACTTCCACATAATTTTTTAACCGAGGTATTGTTTTTTTTATTGATCCAATCATTACGGATAAATATTTTTCTAATTCTTCTTTATATTATTTTCGTTATCATCAAAAGTTATTTGTTTCGTTATCATCAAAAATATCTAATGAAACTAATATTTGAGCAAATACACAAACAATTTTCTTATCTGTATCCTCCATTTTTACGCTCACAATTGCTTACAACAGCCAAAGGAAACGGTTATGATCTTTTCGATGAGTGCGCTTAGAAATCAAAGTAACCGAGCAAAAACAGCGCTTATAAGCGTGAGCGCTTTATGTATGTGAATGTCCAAAACGAACGCACCCATTAAAACAGGAAACCTAATTCACCAACGTAGAATAAAAGAATATAAGAATAGCGTTATTTCTTGTTTGCAGTATTCTTTATTCCTTATTCTCTGTTCCCTGTTCCTTATTTCTTTTATTGTGCTCAGTCCCTTACTAACCACTCTAGACCAATCGCGTTCGTTTCGCGCTACGAGTTTGTCATCTTGGTTATTCAATCTAGGCGTTGGTAATGAATCGCGCGAAATGCTCGATCTTTTCGCGCCAAGCAGCAGCCATGGGCACACATCGATCCACATCGCTCCGCGTTTCTCGCGTCTTTTATCCGTCGAAAATGAGTCTCGCGCGTTAATAAGCCTCAGGAGTGTCGAGAATAGCGATGTGCGATCGCCGGGGCGTATCGTGAAGACGTGATTTGTAAGTAATCTTCACGTTTCTCCTCGCGGTATATGCGGCCAGTGCTTGTCGCGACGTGTCGCACCGACGTCCCTTACATTTGCTAATAACATCGACTCGCTCAAGTAGTAATAGAATCGGGTGACTGTTAGATTTATTGAACGGGAATTAGAAATGCGATGACAATCAGAGAGGAAGAGAGAGAGATGCGGAATATTCGGGCGGTTGTGTCAGTTTGTTAGGAAAGGAGATACGGAGAGAGAAGTATCTCATAGAGTGCGTTCTTTTCGGCCGCGGCGCCGTTCATATATTGGCGTGTATTTTCAGCGCGATTCAACAATCGCGCGACCATCTTGATTCTCAATCTTTATGCATCGAGTAACCGCCGTGGACACATCGATCGACATTGCTCCGCATTTTACGCGTCTTTAACCCGTCGAAAATAAGTCTCGCGCGGAAATAAGTATCGGGAATATTGAGAATAGCGATGTGCGATCGCCGGGGCGTATTGTAAAGACATCATTTGTAAGTAATCTTCTCGTTTTTCCTCGCGGTATATGTAGGGTGATCAGATTTCTCAGCCTTGAATTCGAGATACTTCATAAATGTGTGAAGCGAGGGGCGGGGGGAGGGAGAAAAAGATCCGAGAATTATTTGATAATCATTGAAAATGATGACAAATCGCTGTCCCGAATAGCACTCGAAAAAATTTGGGACAAAGAGTGAAAAATCGAGACGTTTGGTCACCTTACAGTTTGGTGAGCTTCCAACTTCATTGTTTCGTATCTAATTGTAAGTCATTAAATTGTCATTAAATTGTTTTGTAACTAAGACTCATATTAACAGTCGTTATTTGAAACTATTCAAATAAATATATTCCCGCATATTGTCTGCTTAGTTACTAGCATAAATAAATAAAGATGTATTCTCATACAACAAGAATTTTGTCAGTATATGAATAAAATCATTTGTTATGATGAAAGTTTCAGTAACGTTACGGCAATATTATAAAAATTGCTTATTTTGCTGGAAAGAGAACAGAGTTATGCTAGAATTATTGTAGAAATGAATATTAAATATTTTGGTTAAAATTATGACCTAATAAATACGTATTTCTTAAAGCAAATATATTTTAAATATTTTATGCTGTTACAATAGCATCACAAGATGTACATTAATGTTTTGCTCCACATCTCTATTTGTCTAGGTAGTCCTACTAGGTAGTCCTACAAGACATTTTATGATTCATATTAATAATTGTTACTTGAAACTTGTCTCATATAAGATACACAGATTTCAATTTAGAATCAGACTCAAGTTTTTCAGTTAAATTAGAACATGTGTGACATTTATATTTATAAATTATATTTATATTTATTTATTTATTTACATTATTTATTTATAAAATATATTTATATTTATAAAGTACCACGATTCAACGGAAAAACTCTCATCTAATCTTGATTTGAAATTGGAATATCTCACTTAAACGAGTTCCAAATAATAATTATTAATACAGGTCTAAAGTGTACAACCGACTGATTCAGAATTGCAATACTTTATATCGATAAATTTCATAACGTATCCCGTAGCCAATAAAAGAATTTGTTCTTTAGTAATTTTCAGAAGATACCTTTTCTTATTGGATACAGAATTCTTTGCAAAATTTATCGAGGAAAGTGTTGTTGCACTTAATTGACTTAATTGACTTAGTTGACTGTATCAACGCTCGGGTATAGATAGAGCTCATCAGATAAGCTTTCTACCATTTCGAAGGCCCGTATCAATAGTTATTACTAGAAACTTATTTTAAGTCAAATATCCAAATTTGAATTGAGAGTTAAATAAGAGTTTTTCAGTTGAATCGCGATTACAGATATAAATATCGTTTATATCATATAATTCAACTGAGAAATTTAGATCCAACTCTGAATAAAAATTTAAATATCTTACACAGGACAAATTTCAGCTGACAACTGTTAATACGAGCTTTAGTCACGTAGTATAATTAGTATCCAGCATAAAATGAAATTAATATTTTAAGGCTGCGTTCAAAAATTCATTGCTAGTATTAAAAATTTATAATATATGTGACATCCCGATGAAAAATTTTTCATACATAATTATATATAAAATTTTTCCATACATAATTATGTATAATTATATATAATCATATAAAATTATATATAATTATATGTAATTATACATGAAATTATATATATAATTATATATGATTATATATAAGTAACATATATTAGCATGTATGGACAAATTTCATACATAATTATATATAATTTAAAATTATATATAATTTTATATAATTTTACATAATTATGTATGAAAAATTTTTCATTGGGATAAACTATAGATTTCCAGTATTGGCAGTAAATTTTGGAACACAGCCTATGTATAGTCAATTTAGTAAAACATTACTATATTATTACAAATTATTTCATAACCGTATACATCATGTATAATTATATATATATAATTATACATGATTATATATAAGTAACATGTATTAGCATGTATGGACAAATTTCATACATAATTTAAAATTATATATAATTTTATATAATTTTACATAATTATGTGTGAAAAATTTTTCATTGGGATAAACTATAGATTTCCAGTATTGGCCGTATAATCGTGATACAACCGTTTTTAGACATTAACGAGCTATTACAGATTATACGAGCTATGACGGATTGTTATTGTGACACATTGTTCATGCTTTTCTTAAAATAATCGTTTACGCCCTTCTTGGAATAATCAATAAACAATAAGTCAATGATGCGTACGGTTAAAAAATAACTAATTAAATCGCGTGTGATTAACGCGAATACAGTACAAGTTGCACAATATAATGCAATTGATGATAGACAGGGTTATGAAAAGCCTTTGCGTACGTTTCTTCAGTAGTTCGGACGTGTTCCTTTTGTTACAAAAATTCCGGTGACACGCTTGAAGGTGTGAACACGGTTCTTTGTACAAAGAGCGGTCACAGAATTCCTATATACAAGAGTACGAAGAGCGAGGTTGATATAAACATCAAGGACGCCGCACCAGTAACCAGCAGAACGTTCTTCTTCTTCTGGGAGTGCCTCGCTACGTGAAAGTCTTTCCGCGACTGCAACAGGAACGTTCAGGGATGTTATGTTTCGCAACTAATAACGCGCGTTGATTGCCGCAACCTTCTCTCGCGGTCAGTGAGTCGCGACCTCTTAATCGGAATACAAGATTACGATAATTAATTTCTTCGCGTATCTCTCGCCGTTACGGTCGCGTCTATAAATAGAGAGCATTCCTACGTCGCGGTGTTATTCAGCGCGACGATGTCTCTCGTTGATGAGAAGACTGCGTTGAAAGTGCAGAGGATAGTATCGAGCGAGTTATATCAGCGAAATCAGCGCACAGAAATATCGCGATTATTTCGAAACATTTGCGATCTTCCTGGAGCCTAGAGAAAAGGAACAAGTGAGAAGTTCGCAGGTTTATTTACCGTAATTTGAAGACTCTGCGTTTTGCGAACTAGTTCGTCCAATCTCTGGCCCCGATCGATCAACTTCTGCACCCCATCCATCAGCGCGTGACGTATTTCTGCCAATTCGTTTTCCAGTCTCGGGAGCAGATCCTTGGGATTGACATCTTGTTGGTTATGCTCCTCCTAAAACAACGCCGAGTGCATGTGTATTCTTATTCTCTGCACATTAAATTTTAGGCTTTTGTTTGATTGTAAACGTCGTTGGCTTTACATATAAAAATAGATTACGTGGAAATCTAATTACAAGATGCAAAATGACAAAAATTTATAGATTACATTTTAACGATTTAATAGGGTGGCCTTTAAGGGGATGCTGAAGCTGAAAACTTTACCAACAGAACACTGACATTTTCCTGCAAAGTTTACATCGTATTGGTTACACAGAATTACAAATGCTTTTACGTAATGAAAGTATGTGCAAATATAAATAGGAGCATTGCTCGATATGTGATGAAAACGATCAAAAAATGTTTAATGTAAAATCTCAAGCTGTCAGTTAACGTAATATTTGCCTAATCAAACAGTTCCGCAGCTTGTATATACTAAAACTGTGGATGCTCTAAACAGAAAAATTTTGAAGAACATTGCTTTACCTTCGCGTCTGCATTTGAAAGCTTAAGAATATCAGAAAAGTTTGCAAAAAAATTTCTACACATATATGATTAGGTTTTCCGTTGAATATGATAAAACAAAGCAACACACATTCATAAGTTCTATATATACAAGAAATACGAAAAGGATAGCGTGATTAGATTAGTGACGATCGTCTCTGCATTATCGACATTGTTCGAATTCGTCATCGACTCCAGTATTCTCTTAACACTACGCTATTGCTGTTCATGAAACTTGCATTCGCTTGCAATTGCGTTCCTCGAACGCACTCTATATATGGAGAAAATACTCATTCCTAAATGCTGATTGGTTGTCTCATTGTTTCCTCGCGGCTTGATTCACGCAGGTCGTTTGCGACTGTCAAATTATACGTCAAATATTATGTGAATTTTGACAATTGCATTTACGCAAGTTTATATTATATTTATATATAGGTTTACATATACATAATTTATAATGTCAATGATATATATATGTCAAATAATATATATTCATCATTGAGTAATATATCATAATATAATACTCAATATCTTTTTTATTTCTTAATTAAGAATAGGAAAAATAGGTAGACAAGAGAGAGAAAATCTTGTGAGAATATCTTGTGTCTCAGAGAGAGAAACTTCTTACAAGTTCTTTATATAGAGTGTCCTATTAGTCAAATCAAAACCCGCAGTTGGTTCTCCAATTAGACATTCCACAGAGGTTGAAACACTCAAAAATTTTCTCTTAGGTATAGTAATGACGTGTATGAAATATACATAGTTTTCATGTAAAACTATTAAGATCTACTGATATTTTAGAATATTGGAACAACGCTTGCGCTATTTAGTTCGTGTGCTATAAATATTAACTATAATACATAACGTTAACAAGCAAAAACACAAGAAAACTCTAATATCTCCTGCTACACTGTTAAATATTGGAGGGTCAAATTTAAATGTCTCCAATTTCTTGAGTTAAACAAATGCCTCGCAGAAGACAATGCTTTTTGAATCAGAAACGGCTTCCATGCGATTTACATTGTCTCGACTTGCAAAGTGCATTAATAACGGAAACAGTCACTATTATTAATTATTAATCCTTTCAATGAGGTTTAATTGATTGCAGTGACATACTCATAACTCACACAGCAGAAATATTCAAAATACATCATGGGGATATTTTAGAGATGTTGCGATATTCTTAGAATATCCCAATGATATATTTTGAACATTTCTATTGCGTAGAAACTGAATCATGCACTACAGTTACAAGCACAGTTATTTCAATGACGAATGCACTGATTAACTGATTTAGAGAGAAGGACAGAAATGCATGGTCGCTTACAATTATGTTCTTCAATGGTTTCGAGAGATCCACCACTGCGAGGTTGGTCAGGTCCCTCGAGAGGTCCGCTAACATCGGTAACTCCCGGTAAACGGTGCGCAACCTCCCCAGAAACACTTGGGAGCAAGACTCCAGTTGAATCGCCGACGAGGGACAGTCCGACTTCGACGTTAAGCAGGCGTAATGAAGTTCGCCGATCAGCACGTGCACAGTGTACCTGCGGTAGAATCGGGTTACTTTACGTTTACGGTACGGACGCGGAAAAGAAGGGCCACGAGAGAGTCCGAGAGAAAGAGAGAGAGAGAGAGAGAGAGAGAGAGAGACGCGTTTTAATCTTATCGCGCGAGCGCGCGCGGAGGCGTTAATTAATCCATCGCGACCTATTATACTCGTTTTTGCGACTTTGCGAGCGCCATGACGAGAAAAAGCGCTGACTCTGGTCTAGTGCATAATATATCTCGCAACTTCAACACGCAACGAGTGGAAAATAACTCTCGGTCGCGCAGAACGTGGAGAATCATGGCGCTTATCGCGCGAGCGCAATTGCAAAGTTTCACGCGCGGAAAGTATAAAAAAAAAAGAGAGAAAGACGCATCTTTTTCGTCAAGTGCATAACAAGTCACGCGGGTGCAGAGGGCAGAGGGAGAAAAGATCTTACTTGCCCCGATCGACGCTGATTTTTTCGTCCTCGAGCGTCTTCAGGCCGTCGATGGTGCTGAGAACGATGGCTCGATAGGCCGGATCCCGATCCGCGGGATAATCCGCGACGATTTTGCAGCCGGACTTCTCCCAGAAGGCCACCAGCGCGTAATGCACGGTCCCGTTCATCTTGTTCGCAGGAGGACAGGCACTTTCACCGCGAGCGAGAACCGTCGGGTGACAGATTGCTTGTATCACATTCGGGTGGGACGCGAGAGGAAGAGAGAGAGAGAAAGAGAGAGAGAGAGAGAGAGAGAGAGAGAGAGAGAGAGAGAGAGAGACTGCAGGCTGTTTACGTCGATTCACTGGTCACAGCCAGTGAGTAACGAAAGAAATTTTGATAACTCGATAACGGAGGCACGTTTACTCGTCATTTCGTTCGATTTTATTCGAGTAAATTTTTTTTTTCATAAAATATTCCTAAAAAACACTCATACTGAAAAGTTTTGTGATCCGAATAAAATTAGTAGTTGAGAATTACGATTTTCTGGATATATGTGAATTATATATTACGATTTTCTGGAATTATGTGCATTCATATTTGTGCACGTGTGCCTAAGTTACAAAATTTAATACATTTGATTTAATAAATCTCATAATCATGATAATAATCATATATATAAAATTGTCAAGATTTTGTACCCTAAGATGACCAATAAAAAATTGAGAAACTGAAAAATTTGCTTACTTTTTGTAAAATTTCACACAATTTCAAACGTCAATTCTGCTCTGTATACGATCGCTATCTTAATTTCTTAGGCAGCAAGATTACTGTTTCACGAGTTAGAACGAATAATGTAGCTCTATTTAAGATCGATAGTATCAGTGGAATTATTACTTTGCTAATATAAAAAATTCGGGGTCCACAGTGAACATACATAATTATATATGCTGGGTCTTAATCAATTAGTTAAGGGGATACTGAACATGAAAATTTTATCGACACAACATTGATTTTTTCTGCAAAGTTTACGTTTTGTTGCTTGCACAGAATTACAAATGCTTTTATACAACAAAAAACATGCAAAAATTAATTGGAGCATTGCTCAATATGTGACAAAAACGAAAAAAATATTTTTAAAGTTACGTTTCTATGTGCTCTATCGACAATTTTTTACAGTTTTTTAAAATAATTTTCGCGTTCCTAAAATATGTATTTTTGAAAATAACATTAAGTGTGCGTATCTCACTCAGCACCGTCTGCTGGATAATAATTTCAGTTAATGTGATCACGTTTGAGTTGCTTCCCAATGCGCAAAATAATTAAATAATAACCGAATAAAGAATAATAATAATATCCCCCGATTAATAAGTGGATGATAATATAATATTATTGGCAATAATAACTGAACGAAGACGAGATAAAGAAATCGTCGTAACGGCACGCCCGAGTTACTCTCCTATACCTAATAACAATAATTAATTAATAACCGAAGAAATTAAATAATAACCGAATATAAAAATAATAACTCTCGCATAATAAATGGAAGTGATAATAATACCTGGTCGACAATCGTATTATAATATCCGCGCGAGTGGATAATAACGAAATAATGATGATCGAATAATCGACGATAACAATAACTAGGCAACGGCTGTAATAAAAACTCTAGGCTGAACAATGAATAGGTAAACAGATCGTCGTAACGGCCGCCTCGAGCGAGACGGCGCGCAGCCGAGGTCGCGTAAACACGCGTGCGTGAACAACACGTGCCCGAGCGGTACGCCACAACACTCTCAACCGCCGAGGCGAGCACGTCGGCAGGTGCGGCGTTACTTCTCTTAGATTATTCCGCACCGATTTTTAGCACCGCGTTTCGACTTCGCGGTAATTAAGACGAATTAAGACGCGTGCTCATCACGCGAGCAAGTATTGCGAGCTTCACCTCGGCAGGTAACTACTGCGTTTCGTTTGCTTTTTTAGTTGTTAGAAAGAGAGAAACGTCGCGATTGAATTCCTCAACGTCGATCAGATATTATTATCATCATTCATTTATTTCGGATATTATTGTTTCTTTATTCGGTCATCACTTAAGGCTCCTGGCCCCTCGCATTGTCTATGTCTTTTTAATGACGTTAGGAGTGAGAAAATGCTTGCTAAAAATTCTTGCGAAATACTTTAAAATAAAAATATATATTCATAAAGTAACATTTGCAACCGATTAAACAAATTTCTAAGGTATTGCGTGCACTCCCCTTTTGCTTTAATAATCAATTTATTGTAAATTAACTTGAATAAAAATAGGCGAAGAAATTAAGAAGATGAATTGTATGTCACGTTATTTTATGACAAATTATCGATTATTAGAGCAAAGGGTAGTGCACGGAATATCTTACAAATTGGTTTATCGATTGCAAGTGTTACTTAATGGATATATATTTTTATTTCTACGTATTTCGCAAGAATTTTTAGCATGCATTTTCTTACTTCTGACGTCATTAAAAAAGAGATAGACAATGCGAAGGGCCAGGAGCCTTAATTATTTTTATTGCGCATTGGGAAGCAACTCGAGCGTCTCGTTACGACGATTTTTTTACCTCGTCTCTATTCAGCTATTATCGCCGTTATCCAGTTGTTGTTATTTATTGTTATTCGATCATCATTATTCAATTCCTAAATAGTACATAGAATTAAAAAAGAATTCAGTCACATATCACCAATTCTGAGTTAATTTTTAAATGCAAAAAGAATTCTTTTCATTGAATTGAACTCTGAAGAATCCTTTTTGCATTTGTATGAAATTGAACTCAGAATTGGTGACATGATGACTGAATTCTTTTTGAATTCTTTTTTAATTCTCTGTGCTATCTGGGAATTGAATAATCATGATCGAATAATCGTTAATAACAATGAATAACAACAACTGGACAACGGCGATAACAGCTGAACTGTTTGGGTTATTATTCACTTGCGGATATTATTATACGGTTGTCAATCAGATATTATTATCATTATCCATTTATTAATCGGCTATTATTACTTCATTATTCGGTTATCATTTAATAATTATTATTGCGCATTGGGAAGCAACTCGCGCGCGAACGTGCCGTTACAACGATTTCTTTACCTCGTCTTGCTATTGTGTGTAACTAATTGATAATAAATTACTAAATTGTTAACTGACACTAAATTAAATCTGCTTTCTGTTACAGAGATCCAATAGAGCAGACGCGGTCACACGGCGGTCTAAGGGATGCAATGCCTGGGGGATGCCGCGCCGGAGGATCCGGCTCGGGCCTAGCAGAGTCGACTCGAAGGTGAGCTCCACCGATTTGTATTCATAATTAGAAATTCGACAAAACTGGAAACTCTCTTGCTTGAATCGAATTTCTTAATATCTTCATTATTGTGTATAATTAATTAATACTAAATTAAATCTGCTTTCTGTTGCAGTGACGAAGTAGATGATGAGTCGACTTTAGGGGGATGCTGTGCCGGAGGATCCGGCTCGGGCCAAGCAGGGTCAGCTCGAAGGTGAGCATCACTAATTAGCATTCCTAATTAGAAATCCGACAAGACTGATAATTTTCTTGCTCAAAGTAATTTGAATTGAATCAAAGATCGCATTAAATCATAATTACACGCGGGGAAAATCTTTCTGGGTAACATTATCACTTGAAAAATATTGATTTGTTCTAACAGATTTATTTGCAACGTTGAGAGAAAGGAAAGTGGAACATTCTAGTGTAAATGTATTCCGAAAAATTCTCTCAGCGTAAACAATATCGCGCTTGTTTTTTTTTAATCTTTTAATCTTCTTCACTCAAATCGACATCAATGCATAAATCTAATCGGCGAAACATTTTTCTGTTCCAGAAACAAAAGCAGAACGTGGCTGCCCTGATCAGCGGTTCGGTGAGTCAAAATAAGAAACATATTGATAATAGAAAGACGACAAGTCTTTCGATGTAGTGCATGCTTACTGAACCAATGCGATTTACTTTGCTGTAGTGTAATATATGTATGTGCCGTCCAATAAAAAGCACACTGCTCGAAACATTTGGAAGATCGCTTTTTTAAATAATAATATTAGTAATAATGAATATTCTACATAAATTTGGCAAATAAATTTCCAAGTATTTTTCTCCCAATATACATATATTTATTAATTGATTGATTGACTTAGATTATCGATTGGTCAACGATTCTTGTCGAAAGAAATTTTGATTAATCAAATATCAATACTATGATAGATATTGGCAGATATTTAAAGTATCGAGTATATTTCAGCTCTGAACATTCAAAATTATGTAAAGAAATTATTCAGTTTTATTGAATTATGATTGTCCAGGTGCTCGAGCAGTGCGCCAAAGCGCAGATTGCGCCATAGAAATTGCGCTACATAAAATGCGCGATCACATCATCCGCGTCAATAGATCTTCCACCGGTCGTTAATTTTTTCAATTTTCTCTCTCGCGTAAGTTTGCGTCGCGATTGTATTTTGTAAAGTACAGAATTCATGCCTCGTTATTAAATAAAATTCGATGTCGTGCGGCGCCTGCGTGAAATAATCTAACGTGATACACAAATTGCTCGCGAATTTCACGATCGTCGGAAAATTTTCAGTTTTCAATTTTTCACTTAGAGTTAGAGTTTGCTAACGTGGGCAATGCTAGTGAACGTTGATCCCTCGCGAAAAACGCGATGTATACAAGTCAGGCATGCGAACAATTGTTTGTTTATTTACGCGGTGCGCGACGAACAAAGACAGGCGCCTCATTTTTCGGTAACATTTTTCTCGCGTGAATTTTGAATAGATCTTTATCTCTATCGTCGCAATTCTCAGTTTTCGATTTTTCATTCACGCTCGCTTTCGCGATTATGCATTTTGATAGATTTTCGAATTTCACTAAATCGTATTTGTGGAAGCGTCGAAAGCGAACTTCGCAGAAATATTGCGGAGTTGTTATCCGCAAAAACATTGCGGAATTATCCTCGCAAAAGTATTGCGAAACTATTATCCGCAAAAATATTGCGGAATTGTCTTCGCAAAAATTGCGGAGTGTCCTCGCTAAAATATTGCGGGGAAAAGTTTTCGCGAAAGTATTTCAGGTCCGTTGAGGAGACAGACGTCTCACGCGATAACGATAACATTTTCTCGCGTAAATTTTGAATAGATCTTTTTCTCTATTGTCGTTATTTTCATAGTGTTTCACTCACACTCGCGTTTTTCACTCACACTCGCGTTTCGCGATTATGCGTTTTGATAGATTTGCGAATTTCACCGAATCGTATTTGTGGAAGCGTCGAGAGCGAACTTTGCAGAAATATTGCGGAGTTGTTATCCGCAAAAACATTGCGGAATTGTCTTCGCAAAAATGTTGCGGAGCTGTTATCCGCAAAAATGTTGCGGAGCTGTTATCCGCAAAAATGTTGCGGAGCTGTTATCCGCAAAAATGTTGCGGAGCTGTTATCCGCAAAAATATTGCGGAGCTGCGTTGCAGTCTACCACGCTGCTCCATCGAAACGTCATATTAGGGATATTCCGTGTCATATGTGAAAATCTCGCGCGATTACTTGGTCTACGCGTCAAAAAATTTCGCGAAATCGGCCTTCAATCCGCGTCGCGCGTTCTCTTCGCTCGCGGATTTCGCTTTCTTCGTAAGCGATTCGCGTCGCGCGTGCATCAAAGCGACACTACAACTCGATTCGGACCGTTGCTAAATTCGTCGTACATACTCGTCGTTTATCCGAAAGACCGGCATTTTCTCGAAAACGCAGTTCGCGACATTTCATACGCGATTCGCAACTCGAGACGGGATTTATCGTGAAATCTCCGTTAGATCCCGCGGTCGGGAGTGGATTACAGGCGACGTGGGACGCGAGGACCATTGCAGTGCCGATGCAGCGACAGGATGGACTCTGGACACCGTGGGACAACGCACAATGGTGAGCGTGCAATTTAGACGCTCATATAGTAGACACAAGCGTCACTTTACGTAGATTGCATGCACGTAGACGTAAATTGCATTGGGTCCGACGGGAAATAAAGTAAGAGTTGTAATTTACAATTCGCCGGAGTTACACGTAAGAATGATCCAACCAAAAAACTTAGCTCTGAGGTTTCTCGCAATTGTTCAACGAGTCAAGTATTTCCATTTCTTTAAGAGTATTGACTAGCTCAGTACTTAGAAAAATATGCAAAAAAGACGCGACTGGTAAAAAAGAAAACTGTTTCTTAATTCATTTCAAATGTCTGTAAGGCTTGAATTTTTTCGTTTTGTATAAAAAGATAGATGGAATATCCATTGATAAAAACTTATAATTCTTTTTATTGGATCATTCTTGTATAACAATGGCCAATTGAAATTTCAACTCGGGAGGCTTTCTTCTCGTCGGATTATTTCTTGATGATATATTGAACTGATATATTTCAACATGTCATATTTATATTTTCTATATGTGCTATATATGCTCTTTATATGCTCTTTATATGCTATATATATATATATATATATATATATATATATCTTCTATTTATGCTCTATATATACTCTATATTTATGTTTTATATATATACTATGTAATTTATAACTTATTATGTCGTATTATATACGACATACTATCTCTTCAGAGATATTTTCTTATATATACGCGTTTGTCGTTGACAAGACGACAAATGAAATTCTAATGGGGGAGGGGAATAAAACTGAATTAGAAGTTAGGAATTCTAAAATATACAGAAAGAAAAAATTATCTAAAAATAAGGAATATTTACTCGACAAATACCAATGACATATCCAATAACTAATGCACGTTGAAATAAGTATATCATTAGTACTCATCGAATAAGTATTGCTTATATTTAGATATTGTTTTCTCTCAGTGCAAACATGTGAAAATTATAGTAACCAACGCGTATTTCCGTGTTTTCATGTTAGGGTTTTCGATCTGCAGCAAGTTGCGGATTAAAAATAAAATGACGGTTTGCTTGAGTAATCGATTCAATCGCTGGAACGGACAAAAAGTAGAGTTTGGTAGCCCTCAAAAACGTAGCTCAACGTAAAAAATCAATTCACCGCGAGCAATTCCTGCCTGCGAGTCGCGCGTTTAGCGTTCACATACGACCGTTTGACACTGAAGAAAGCTCTTTCGGACTGTATACTCACGCATCATTGCTGTTCATTGAATTTACATTAAATTCAATTATTTTCTGTTATTATTAATATCGTAATTTTTTATTGTTATAATTAGATGAGGATCATCAAAAATTATTCAAATTATTTTCTATCGTTATTTAAATTCAATTAAATTCTATCAAAAACTAAATTCACATTAAATTTAATTTTATCTTACCGATGAATCTATTGTCGATTACGCACCATCGCGAGAGACTGCGCCTTGCGGAAGTCGTCCTTCGAAGTGGCAAAGACAACCGGGGAAAAACTTTTCCCTGATTACGTAGCGTTATAGGAAAGTCGAATTCTCGCGCATGCGCAGTGGAATCTATTTTGAGTAGAAATCGCGGTCATGTTGCTAGATCACACTTTGGGAACACACTTCTCTGCCCCTTCGATAATTTTTTACTGTTTTTAAAAGTAATTTTCGCGTTTCCAAAGGTGTATTTTCGAAAATGACGTCGTGTTAAAATAAAATTTTGAATATTCTTCGACGTCTGAAACACAAAAGTAAGTTAAACTGAGTTGGAAGAACAGATATCTATTAAATTAATGAGAAACAAAAAATTTCGTAATGTAATCGAGTCTGCAGATAAAATCACGAATTTTCACAAATCATGATATATCAAAACATTATAGTTTCTCCGCGTTTGAACAAATCGTAATAATTGAAAACAAAACAGAAATTTTGATAAATTTATTCGCGTCATTTCGTTACAATGTATAATGTTGTACACAACAATCTCTCCCTTGCGTTTCTCAGATTATTCGTTACAATTATCCGCATAATAAATAAAAAATAACTTAAAAATATCTTGAAGCTTCTATAATCTACGAACACAGAGAGGGTATTTGATCACAGCCACTGACTCTCAGCCATTGATCTATTCTCTGTACATTTATTCGGAGCCAGTTGATATTAAACTTCACTTCCTCGATAGCGCTTATCCTCGCGTTTGCACCGACCCCCGCCTCCGGATGCTCGTCGAAAAATCGCAAGGCCTAAAATAGCAACACTGACGAAGCAACTCTTGTTAATCGTAACAAACGCTCTCTCTCTTTTTCTTTCTTTCTCTCTCTTTCTTTCTTATTATAGTAATATTTTATTTATCTTCATGAAATGCGTTTAATTAATAATTGCGTTTCGATGAAGTAATTATTATTTATTATTGTGAAATCTTACATAATTTTTACTACATATGACTACTATACTTCTAAGTTTATAATAACGTACAGATTCAGACATCCTAACACGTTAAAAAATACTGTAATCTTTAGGAAGTGTAAACCCCAGAGAGAAAGAGAGAGAGAGAGAGAGAGAGAGAGAGAGAGAGAGAGAGAGTGTGTGTGTGTGTGTGTGTTTGTGTGTCTAGTCTCTTACCTCTCTGAATCTAGTCTCGTCCTTAAACAGAGACACTATCGTGGCAATCGCGTTACCCATAGCGTAATCATTCAGCGTGTATTTTCCAACGAGATCATTCCAGCTTGATCTACACACGCGCGAACGACAGTAATTACGATAATGTAATCATCAAGATCTTGCAAAAATCGGATTGTCGATGTTGTCATTTTATTGACTCAAAGAATGAATCATATTACGAATACGCAATTAAACAATTATCTAAAAAGTAGCATAAATAACGAATAACAATGTCAGACACATTGATTGAATACAAGACACGTACCGTTATTATCAAAGAAACATTATTATTAATGCTCGTTATTCTTAATTAAAGAAACGCGACTTAAAGCACGACGGACTTTTGCAAGCCCGCAACATGACGCGATAATAAGCATGCCCGCGGAATGTGCGCAAAAAACAAGAGATATACCGTATATAGTTCCACGCGATATCGAGTCCCACAGGATTTAGAGCAATTCTCACGAGCACCTCGAAGAAATCTTGCCGGCGAATATAATTCTCATTTGTCGCTATCTCGAGATATCTGGCGGGAAAAAAGAAACAACTATTTAAAATTAGCTTCGATGTACACTCGGTTAATCTCCTATGTTAAAGCAAATCAAAATATTGTACAGAAGAAAAATTAATATTCATCTGAAACTAATGTACATAAATGAACAATCATTGTTTCACATAAAAGCAACGATAGGTAATTTTGTTAAAAAAATTTTAAAATTCTGAACTTTAACAACGTTATAATTTTATTTTTATATTATAATAATCTCATCAGAAGTACAATATATCTACTTCGACGATAATGATATCTTCCTCTGATAATTTAAAAACATTATATTTTTCAAAGCAATATTTTTTGTGCTTTCCATTCATGAAAAATGTTTTTGAAGAAGTATGAAGTAAAATTAATCTTACGCGAATGTAAATGAAATTACTATATCCTAGTTATGAGAAATATATTTTTATATTTTTTTCAAAGAAAAACACATAGCAATAGTAAACCTTACTTACTACAAAATAATTTAAAATAATAAAATATTTTTCAAAATGCAAATTTAACGTACGTATTTTACGTACGTATTTTATACGTGTTTATGTTAGATTGTTAGACAATTTGTTCCGATACAAGCGCAAGATAGCCACATTGCAACATATTCATAATTCGGTTATTGCAGAATAAAATATATGGATTATTGCTAGAATAAAAACATAAAGAGAGGTTGTCTCCATTATGTCTGTACAGTCAATAACAACAATTAGTTATCTGAAAAATTGGAAATTTTGGAAAGTGTGGCATCTTGCTCTGGTTTCCATTCTAAAAGGTGTCAAATTTGAGTCGATTTCTGTTTATTGGAAATAACTTTAATAGACCATAAATTTACATTATATGGATTATCTAATGTACAAAAATTATAATTGTATCACTGGTAACCCGTAGAAACAATTTGAAAAACGCTCTATGTTATATAGCCCATGATTCATTGACATGCGGTTTCTGAAATATTTATAGATTTACTCATTGAGTAATTATTTCTTCTACCAGATATAATCGAAAGTAGAGAGGGTTTTCAGTCTTTAAATCCACGAGTGACGCCATGAAGTCCTTATCTCTAAATTTAATCATTACGATTTTAATTATAATATTATTTAATCGATATATTAGTATTTCTGAAACATATTTACTGACTTATTCAATTGTAATTTATTCCCATTCTCAGACATAATCGAGAATAGAGAATTTGCAGCTTATAAATATACGAGATGACAACGCGGAATTTTCATTTCTATCTTTCTGATTTATGTATGCAATTAGTATTTATACTATTCTCCAAATTCATATGAAAACTTCTAAAAGAAGAATGGTGAAATGTTTTGTAACAGTTTTTGAATGGGAAGTAAACCAGAAAAAACAGAATCAGCTATTTCGTTATAGAACATATATTAGCGAATCATTGGAATATGTAACACAGAGTGGTTTTCAAAATGTTACCAGTGATACAATTGTTTTTTGTATATTAGATAACCCATGTAAATTTATGGTCCACTAAAGTTACTTATAATAGACAGAAATTGACTCAAATTTGACACCCTCCTTTTGTCAATATAGTTTCCTCTTCGTTTGTATGATAAATTTACACACCGACTAAGAACGGTCGCGTTTCGAACGCTGGCCAACGCGATCATCAATCTTTCTCTCTCGCGTATATCAGTCTCCTGCAAGAATCGTTGCCACAGCGTCTCAAATACAGCTTCAACGTCATCCGACCGCATGGCGATACCTGACGCAGCACACGTTATCGTAAAGGATCGATGAAAAAATATATGTATGATTGCACAGAAAAGAAATTTTAGTTCGGATAACTGAATGGGGACTAAACGAAAAACTCGCTGACGTGCGGAAAGAACAATTCCATTAGTGTGACTGCATTTTTTGTTACTTTGGAATCAGATAAAAAGCTTGCTGCTAGAAACAGAAAGATTCTTATAAGAGGTTTCTACTCCAGCCAGTTGCTCTCAGTTATATCTCAACGGAGTTTTAATTATCGAGTTTTATTATTCGTCTGAATAATCAGCTGTATCAAAATTCAACTGAGACAACTGAGAACAATTAGTTGAGTAAGAATTTCCTATCTAGGAATCCTATCTAGGAATCCTTCTGTTTCTGTTTTTCGTCTGGTCGCTAAGTAACAGAAAATTCAGTTGCATTAACGAAGTTGTTACTTTGTATGTTAATAGTCGTCTTTAATAAACCAAGAGCGCACCTTACCGAACGAGTACACGATCGAACGCACGTCCGGATGTGGTCGCTCCGCGCTGTGGTTATACGCGAATTCTCTCAGCGAGTTCCTGGCGAAAGCGAGACAGTGCTTGTGAGCGACGCTACAGGCAGCGTGTAGAATTATCGCGCGCAGTTCTCTGGAAACACGACAAAGGGTATTGACTCAACACGTCAAGCCGCAGCTTGCAAAATAAAATGTACAGGACAGTTACAGCTAACCTGTTACCAAACGACTCGCTACTATCGACGTTCCAATTGAATCTCCGATACATTCCGCTAATCAAAGCACGCGCGTATCTCTGGAATCGAAGTATCGTACAGTCAGTGTGAGAAAAATTGCAATACTTTTTTAATTAGTTGCGCATTTATATCCAATAAGAGACAATTTATTTTCCAGTTATTCTTAGAATGCAATTTCCAATAGGAAATTAATATTTTTCATTTATACACAAAAATTATATAAATTTTTTTATAAACAAAAAATTATACTAAATTTTTATATATAATTACAATACTGTTACCTCGCGTTTTGATCAGTCACTGTTTTTAGCCATTATATTTATTGTTATTTATTGTTATGAATATTTATTATTTTGCGTCGAATAAAGTTATTATTTAGAATTATTTAGAATTATTTAGAATTATTTAGAATTATTTAGAATTATTTAGAATTATTTAGAATTATTTAGAATTATTTATTATTTAGAAGTTATTATTTTATTATTTAGAAATATTAATTATTATTTAAAATGAAATTATTATTATTACTTTCATCTCGATAAATTTCAGAATGTATCCGATATTTTATTGAATATCGCAAAACAGTAAATATTTATTACAATAAATATAATGGCTAAAAACAATTATATATGAAAATTTAGTATAATTTTTTGTTTATAAAAAAATTTATATAATTCTTGTGTACAAATGAAAAATATTAATATATAATAGCTAAAAACAATGGACAACCAAAAAAGCGAGGCAACATCATTAAGCTTGCTCTTATTGTCTTATGCTAAATAGTAGAAAAAGACAGAAATTAAAAAATTAAAACACATAATATACACAAAAATTATGCAAAATTGAATTAAGTTCCAGTCTTTGCTTCACTGCAAAGTTGCAAAATTATTAATTAAATTTTTTTCCTATAAAATTCCCAAAATAAAAATAAATGATTATCATCTTATATTTTCTATCTGCAGTTAAATAAGTGACAAAATTATTACGTTGCTAGTTAAAATTAAATGCAAAAAAAATTAAGTGCAGAAAGAATATTAAGATAATTGAATATTGAATAATTCTGAAACAAGTCTTTCAGTAAGACTCAACGTGAATAAAATAGCAGCAAATAATCATTTGCATCAAAGTAGCACAATGTTGTATCTATACAATCTGTACAACATTGTATCTGCAGATATTGATCTTTCAAGTTCAGTGGAACTTGCAGGGTTAATGCAGAACCCAAATTTCGACTCGAGGAACTGAACTCATAGTGATTGTATAGATACAACATTGTCCTACCTTGATGCTGCAAATGATTATTTGCTGCTATTTTATTCACGTTGAGTTTTACTAAAAGACTTGTTTCAGAATTATTCAATATTCGATTATTTTAATATTCTTTCTGCATTTAATTTTTTTTTGCATTTAATTTTAACTAGCAACGTAATAATTTTGTCACTTATTTAACTGCAGATAGAAAATGTAAGATGATAATAATTTATTTTTATTTTGGGAATTTTATAGGAAAACTGACTCATAGTGCTTTTTACTTGAAATCGAGCATAGACATGCGTGTCATGCAACAGCCTGCCGGTCTGGATGAGCCATTGACTGGCGATGATCCAAGGCTGCAAGGCTGTCTCATTCCGAAGATAAGTCGATAAATTCATAGCGATACAATAGCACATATCGGTGGCATCCGCTAGGAGAAACGCGTCGTGTAGTAGATCTGCTCTGTCAATCGCATCCAAAGCCTGCAATACGACCCGAATAAATCGTGGAAGGGTAGAAGGGGAGGGGAGGTAGTAAAAGAAAAGAAACCAAGCAACGAAATGGCCTCGTTAAACTACAATTTTCGACGTTTATTCGCCAGAATTTACCTGCATGTCACGAGACAATAGATCGTCGAATCGGGCCCACGCATCTTCCGTATAATTGACGATATAGTACCCAATCGAGCCGTGATTCAGTTTGATCCATTGCACCGGTCTTTCGACAGATAGCTCCACTGCGATTTATTATACGAGATGTCAGAGTTATTCTCCGGAAAAACGAACTATCGTACGATAGCTTCAATGATGCATCCTGCAGTTTAAAGCTCCTGGCTACTCGCAGCGTTTGTCTCTTTTTTAATGACATCAGAAGCGACGAGAAATTGGTGAGAATGTTAAAAATTCTTACAAATTACGTCAAGATAAAAATATATACCCACAAAATGACACCTGCAATCGATTAACCTCTAAAATATTACGTATACTTTCCTTTTATTCTAACAATCAATAAATAATCGTAAAATTAATATGAGGAAATTAGATTAAAAAAGAAGGTTGCGTGTCATGTTAATTTATCGTTATTTATTGATTGTTAAAGCAAAGGAAAAATGTTTGGATTATTTTAAAGGTATACTTAATCGATTGCAAGTGTCATTTTGTTGATATATCTTTTTATCTTATATCTTATATCTATTTAACGTATTTCGCAAGAATTTTTAGCATATGTTTTTTCGTTTCTGACGTCATTAAAAAGAGATAAACGATATATTCAGAAACCTTAATCAAATTCGGAAAAACGCAAGAATTTTAATTGAAGTTGAGAAGCTTTCCAAGAGCAGCAAGCGGTCAGTGTTATTTAATAAAATCGTATGGATTTTTCACGTGTGATCTCATTTTTTGCTTCTATTTACCACATGAGAAATTTGCGAGAAACCAATCGAACTTGACACCTTCATTTTCGTCGTCAGTCGCATACTTTAAAGGAATGATCCAAGTCTCCCTGCAACAATCGATTCGCGGTATATTTAACACATTGCCTGCTAAGCTGATTTCTATTAATTATACTGGTCTACGAGAAAAATATGTTTTTGTTACATGAATCAAAGTATGTGATCTATATAGTACATGTAGTATTTTTCCATCAGGTTTCCTAGTAATGTGATTTTTAAATTTCAAGAAAATTTATTTGCTTCGAAGTATTCGATCGATTTGTATCGGTATTTGCATCGATTTAATTTGATCCAAACGTTCATGCACAGATATAAAGAAATAGTTTAGTACTCTCCAAATTTTTTGAAGTGAAGTTTCACTCAAAAAGAGTGAATACTCACACTTCAATACACAAGTAATAGTGAAAATAATGTCATTCCGAATAGAGTAATATTTCACTTTTCATAAGAATGAACATTTCACTCCAAGTAAAGTGAATTTTTACAATTAGATGAAAAGGAAAATCTCCAAGTTCTATCGTATATTTGTGATTTCTAGTGACTCTAGTTATTACAATCTTTTTTAATAGTGTGCTCATTTAATTAATTTCACTTATAATATGTTAGAAAAATTCACTGATGAACCCCGTGGGATTTGAAACCTGAGACTTCTGGTTCTTGAGTCATTCACTTTAACAATACACGCGCTAATTCCAAATCATTCACTCTTTCACGACTGAAAATTCACTCCATACGAGTGAAAAGTCACTCTAACTCGAATGGCGAACATCACTCCACTTGTCGAGGGAAAATTCGCTCCACGACACAGAGTGAAGGAATTTACTCTATAAGAGTGAGAAGTCATTCTAATTCGAGTGACTTCGCTGTTACTTCATTTTTCAAGTGAAATGTTTACTCCAAGAAATTTAGAGAGTAATTTCAGTGACTAATTCGAACTTAGTTAAAAGACTGATCGTTTTGACTTCATTGCCAAGAATTGACTATCACAGATAAAATGCACTTTTTTACAGTGAAGTACATTCAAATCTATCATTTTTCCGTGTATTACGCACGTAAATTTTTCTTTCTCGCGTTTTTTGTTGACCACAAATCTCTCTTGCGATAATCTAAAAGTCTTGCCGTCTTGTCGAACGTTGACGAGCGGAAATCCGGACTGCTTCGTCCATCGATCCATGAACTCGACAATGTTAACTGTGCCCCGATCAATGTGATGCAGGATTTCGAAGAGTTCTCGGGATTCAGCATTACGAAATTGATACCTCTCGAGATAATTCTTAATTCCGTTCACGAATCTGGATTTTCCCATCGCATTTTCCAACATATTGATAACCGCCGCCGCCTGTCATCCGTGATTGACAGTTTAATACTATATCGATTTATGCGTTTCATATCAGTTGCTCTCCATACTTTTTGATAAGACATGCGATCGAACTTTTCGCCGATCTCGTCGGGGGTTTCCACGTTCGTCGCGACCGCCCTCGTGCTCGGCTTGCAGTCATCCTTCATTGCGATGTACTTTGTATTCAATGGGAAACTAGCCATCTAAGATAGACAAACAGAGACGAGGAGTGATGATGATGAATAACGTTTATTAACCCTCTATTGCTCTCATATGAGGCGAACGCTCAGTTGGAAATTTATTTTCTAATTATATAAAAGTAGCTTCACATACAGTTGACTTTGAGACTTTTTGGCTCTTTATTTACAACCATTTAGATTATATTATATTTGTATAGTCATTTTCTTAATTTTGTTAGTATAAATATATTTTTTCAATAAACATTGAGCCTTCATTGCCTTCGTATGAGGCGAACGTTCAATTAAAATTTTATTTTTTAATTGTATAAAAGTAGTTTCAAGTCAATTTTGAGACTTTTGGCTTTTCATTTACTTTTAGGTTATATTTATATTTTCTTGATTTCGTTAGTATAACTTTTATTAATAGACTATGGAAGAGCGCGCGCTCATAGCGAGAGTAAATACATAAGATTAATGCGACTCGTGCTGTTACCAAATTTAAACTTTACTCTGATGAGTCAATAATAAATTAATATTTTAATATATCTACTCGTTTTTATGAAGCTGTATTAATGCAGTAATAGTTAAATTCATTTAAATTCAATTAATAACAGACGCGGTATTTCAACCGAAGAGCAACGGAAGTTTAATTATTCTACAGAAAGAAGAAACATCTAAAAAATAAGAAATATTTATTTTATGTGTACTTATAATATATGTGTACTTGTATACATATTTTTACACACTGAGAAAAAATTTCTTTTAAATGAGAAAATATATATTAAAATCATTATATATATTAGAGAAAATATGAATTAAATAATAAAAGCAATTGTTTATTCTATTTAAATAAGTGAATTTAGATTTGAACAAATATATTTTATTACCCATTGAATAAATATCTTATTTTTTCGATATTTTTCTCTCAGTGTAAGATAAGCCCATTCAGCACATTTAAAATACAGCACTAAATACTACAATAAAGTATACATTATAGAAAAAATGAAACAATAAGAATTGAAAATAAAATGTAATAGAAAGACTACGAGGAGAGAAAAATTGAAAAGAGTAATTATCACAGCTCTAAGTAATGCTTAACACAATGTTTAACATAAGCAACGTTTAAGAAGCCATGTTTGAGGCCAGAGATGGAAAGAAAGAGAAAGAAAGAATTCGCCGCGTTCGGAATTAAACAAAGCTCGAAAATTCACTACGAGACAACACCACGCGCGTCCGTTTTATTAACGAATATTTCGACGCGCTTGAACATACGAAGGCACGCGCAGAGCTAATCCTGAAATAAATTCTTGTGAACCTGCTGCCAAGCCGGAAAAGCAGAATCTACGGCTCGGTGCTGCATGTACGTGGCGAATCCCTCGTTTAACCACAGGTCGTTCCACCACTTCATGGTGACCGCGTCGCCGAACCACATGTGAGCCAACTCGTGCGCCACTGTGAGGGCGACGTTCCTCGCGTCCGCGTACGAAGCGCGAGCTTCATCGTGGAGAAGTTTCGTTTCGCGAAAAGTAACCAGACCCCAATTCTCCATGGCGCCGGAAGCAAAGTCGGGGATGGCGACCAAGTCTGTTCGTTCAATTAGACGATTACCAAAATTGCACACAGAGAGAACGATTTGGTTGAATCAAGTAAACACTTCTTTGGAATAGTCCAAATGAATTTTTTAATTAATCGAACAACATTTTGACGCAACGAAAATATTTATTTGCGGCTTAGTTCCAAAGAAATTTTTGTCAACCAAATCATTTGTTTGGACTGTTCCAAAGAAACATTTATTTGATTCAGTAAATCGTTCTCCCTGTGTAGATTTCCAGATTACGTCTGCGCGGGCTGCTTACATATTGTCTACGTACACACGGTCTTTTTTCATATAGACAACGTAAACGTTGTTAACGACAACGTACGTTGTCTATATGAAAAATACGAATTTCTATACGAATATTGCAAAAATTATTAAAATATACACGGCAAAAGAATAATTAAAATATGCACGCACAAAAATACATACTACGTTCAAGTAGATGTTACCTGTTTCTGGTATTCTATAAGTTTATATATCCGCAAAGAACTTCGCCCATTTTCATAGGGGTTTTTGGACCATTCGCGTCCAGTCATCAGTTATATATAATTTTGCAGATAATAATGGTAGTATTCAAGAAAAACTAGTTTTAGATCCTCAAACCCCCAAAAATAGTTCTAACCTCTTAATGATATTATTTTATTCGATAGTTTATCATCAGAGCTGCCCAAAACGTTTATTATTTATCTTTACACGATATTTTCGCGCTTTCAATTAACTAATGATTTTTTCTAAAGATTTCTTTTTGTTAGGCACCTCCTTATGGTGAAGGCGGTAACAAAGAAATGTTGAACGAAAAGATTCTATTAAAGAATATTGTTGCACACGTAAGAATGGCACTCTAGGCTGCTGTGCTCATATTATGTCAATAATTTAGTATGTAGGATATGCTAAAAACCTTTCTAATGATATATGGATACCTTCTGAACATAGTAATGACATATTTGTTGTTAGATAGCTCTAATTATTATCTACAATATTATATATAACTGATGACTGGACGCGTCCAAAATGAGCAAAGTTCTTTGCCACAAATTCATTATAAGCAACAAATTTATTCAAAATATATTCTGAATCCTTATAAGTTCAGCGTCAATCAAGAGAATTAACTCTTTGTTTGACAAACCCTAAAAAAATAAAAAAAAATTGTTGAATGTTAAAATAAAAGAAAATAATGTCTTCGGAATGAAATTATACTGTTTTCAAAATATTTAGAAGAAGAAAAGCAAATTGAACAATCGCAGTAGAATTTTTCTACATATAAGACAGTCACTATATCTTTGAATATTAATTACAAATGTAATGTTTTAAAAGGATAACAAATTGCATGAAATTTCCATTTCATTACATGACAGACTGATAGATTTAACTCTGAAGCTAAGAGAATGTACCCAGAGAATTCTGTGGACTCCAATTTTGTGTTTAGAAGAAACATTTATAAATCTAAATCAAGATTCTAAAGATTAAATAAAAATTTTTCTCAATTAATTTTGGAGCAAGCTACACTTTAAACGACATAAATTACCAATTGTCTAAATAGATATCTCTCATATATAATTCATTTGTTGTCTACACATAGACGTGAATATCGTAATTCATGCGAACACACCGCGAAAACAACTCATTACGATTACGAGCATTTGTTCAGGTAAAACGCGATGCGACTTGACGCGAGATTACCGAGTTTCGGCAAGTGGTAATCAATCCCGAAGAGATCGGAGTAATATTTCATGGCGCGAGCAGCGAAGCGCAACGCGAATCGCGCTTCGTTTCTGTAAACGGCGCGCGTGCAGACGCTCAGCGGAATTTTCTTCCCGCCCGAGCTGTCGATACTGGATGTCAGACACTCGAAATCGCTGACGACGAAAGCCACCAGGTATGTGGACATGGGAGGTGTGGGTGCGAAGTACGTGATCATCAGTTCGCTGTTGTTCGTCGCGCTCGTGATTTTCTGCGGAAAATATTTTCGAACTCAGATACACACTTATGCCCATATTCATAGATGTATCTAATTCATAGATATGTGTATTCATGTATATGCGTACAGGATGCTTCGGAAATAGTTGGCCAAACTTTAACTCATTGTAAGGGTGAAAAAAGTCACATAAACATGGATTCGGAAACGCTTTCTTTCCAAGTTATCAATATTTTTTATTTACTTTACTTACAGACTTTAACAACATTTGAGCTGCAAGAATATTTCATTACAGAAATTGCTGAAAATGATTTCCTTCCGTATCGACGTCGTATGGATTATCGAAGACGTTCAAAAATTGCCGGAGTATTTCGTATTTTGTCACACGAAGCGATAATACGATTTCGGAATACTTCCACAATAGCAACAGGAGTATCATAAACGAGAGTCTTAAGATGTCCTCATAAATTCTTGCAGTTTAAATATTGTTAAAGTCTGTAAATAAATAAAAAATGTTCATAATTTGGAAAGAAAGCGTTTCCGAACCCATGTTTATATGATTTTTTTTCATCCTTACAATGAGTGGAATATACTCTTAAAGTTTGGCCAACTATTTCTGAAACATCCTGTATACATATATGTAGGGTGGCCCACGTAAAGTATCACAAGCTAATAACTCTAAACATATTTGTCCTATCAAAAGGTTGTTCATAAGAAAGTTTCATATATTCGAGGGGCTTTTCTAACTACGTAAACAAAAATCCACTTCCGTCCCCCCTTGAAGAAGGGCGAGGAGTAACTTTAAAGTTTCAAATGGGACCCTCTATACAATGTTACATATTTGGATTCGGGAAAAAACAATTAAACTTTATCTGAAATATTTCTTTGGAAAATGCTCCTATCAAAAGTTAAGAGGGGACGGAAGTGGATTTTTGTTTACGTAGTTAGAAAGGCGAATATATGAAACTTTCTCATGAACAACTTTTTGATAGGACAAATATGTTTAAAGTTATTAGCTTGTAACACTTTACGTGGGCCACCCTGTGTGTATATATATATATATATATATATATATATATATACAAATTAAGAAAGAAAATATGTTTCATTTATTATCATTTACTTACCGCAGTCAGTTGAAAAATATGGTTAGAGAGTGGATTTGATCATCCGTTCTGCTCAGAGTTGGGATTAAATATGATGTAATATAACAGTAGTTATACGTTATTAATATTGAGGTTACTTAGTTTCTTTGTATAACAACATAACTATGTTTTAAAACTGATATTGCCGCGAATATCAAAGTAGAGGTATGCGACATTTTCATTTATTAATTTGGATTCGGATACTGAGATAATTGTACCTTCTAATGAAGACATTGTTCCTTTTTTTTAAAAAATATGTGTCAATACATATTTACTGTAAAACATGTAGATGTCGATAACAGTTAGCGAATATGATATTCGGCAATATTTATCAAAGCTATCGAATAGCGATATATGATAGTACATGATTTAAAATTTAAAGCATACAGTGCTAGATACTATTAATATTGGCTAGCTGTCATCAATATCTAATCCTGAACAGGACGAATGAGCAAATCCACAGTTTAATTATTATTCTCAAGAACCCTCTGTATGGAAGAAAGGAAATTTTAACTCGGTATTGTAACTTAAAAGTACATCGACGAAATTATAAAAATTCACAGTTTTTTAAAAACTTTTCCAAGATTTTGACATCACGTACACGACGCTCACAAAGACTAAGAGATGATATTTGCTATAGCAATAGCGTGTATAAATCTCATTGTCGGTAATGTAGACAGTTATACGTGGTCTTAAATGTCATTCAAGACGCCTGAAATATGACGTTTAAAAGATGTAAAAATAAGACGTCCTTAAAACGTCTAAAATAAGACGTTTGAAATGACACGTGAAAAGACGTCTATAAAACGTGTTTTAGACATATGTATTGTGTGGGTTTTTGCAGGATATACACACGGAAAGAAAAAATAGTTGATTTAAGTTGATCTAAAATTATAATTATTTCGTATCCCAACCATATTTTTTGGTTGTTTTAATAATACAAATTAAAATAGTAGTAATAACATGCATATATTATCACTAACATTATAATAACATTATAACATTATAATAAAATGTAGTAAAAAAATTATTTTCTTGACCATAATTTATAATAATTATTTCTTTATGTAATTACAGTTATAAATATTAAATGTTTCTTTTCTCAGTGCATAAATATTAGAGAGTTCAGGTCGAAAGTGGGTCTAAAACTTCGACTCGGTACTGGGAAATTGTTTCAGTTATCAGAACAAAAGGACGTTTGCTATTTGATGATCGTTAGGAAAACAGTTACCATTATAAATTATTTACACTATTTATCATTTTAACAAAGATACGTTGTCTGCGATTACGAATCACATTTTTGTTCGTCTATTTAGGTTAGCTTAGTTATGTCTCTATTACAAAAGTGTAGCTTGGAGCAGCAAATTGAAAGTAATAAATTATTTGTCCTCACTACGGGAGAGAGATTATTTGCTATCCCATATTAACAAATCATTTGTCGCGAGTACTGACATCTCGTTAGATTAGCAACACTTTATCTCTCAGTGGGGGGAGACGCAAAATTACGCGGCCATTTTCGCGCGTAACTTACCGAAATTGGCATGTTGGACAATGCGCGGTAATGCAATCGCGCGGAGTGAACGAGACGTATGTGAAATATAGCTTTAAAGCTCGGCTCGTCGAAACAGGGAAACGCCATCCTCGCGTAGGCCGGCTCGAACTGTGTAACCAATAGTTTCCTACGTACAAAGCGAGTTAAACTGGCAAGCTGTCTCTTTGCGCGTTCATTAAAAGGACTGTGTGTGTAAAATCTATCGGTTTTCAAAGAGAGAGAGAGAGAGAGTTCGATTCTTTGACGAAATCCCCGTAATTGTATTATCGGTTTACCTATCAGGCTCGTGTCCAAAATTCGTGTACGTGCTTAGATACAGCCCCTTCATCGTCCCGGTCAGACGACCGCTGAAATTCATCCTCAAAAAATACTCGCCCGCCGCTATGTGCTTGACTGTTCTGACAAATATCATCTCGTACTCGTTCACGTGGCACACGGACTTCACAAGAATCCGCTCGCATGGCGATTGAGCTTTGTACAATTGTGTTGACGCGATAACCAAGTCTTTGGCATGCAGCGCGATGTAGTTTCGCTCCTACAAATAAAATTCTGTCACTACTTCAAATTTTTATATGATACTTGACCGAAATGATAAAATGAATTATTAAGCCATATGCAATATAGGAAAGTATATTCTTGTACGTTTAATTATTTATAATTATTTGTTGACAGCACTTTCTTATAAGATGATAAAAATATACTATTTTTTTATTAAAATATTAATGACAATCAATATTGGAATGATAATATTTGATATCAATTTTCTGAACCATAATATATACATTAAAAAAATAATGTAATGTAACATTTTAGGAGCATAATAAAATAATCTCGTTATGCCTCGAAATAAATTCGGATAAGTTAATAAGTTTGGATTATGTAATAACGTTTAATAAGTTTGGATTACGTAATAGTATAAAATATCATCGACATTAACACAGTTAATCGACATTAACACAGTTAATCGACATTAACACAGATACTAAAAGATCGTTCAATAATTAATTAATTAATGTACATACGGCAATAAAAAACAGAATTGTATCATTGTTTATGAAAATGTATCAAACAAATTGCAACGCAGTTGCAAAAAACGCAGCAAGCGCATATAACAATATCTAACATCTTTTGATTGGAAAATAGTAATAGCGTGCAGTAAGAGAAACCTAACAGTAATAATTGCAAAACGCTTCATTACGTCGCAGTATCTCTTAAAAAAGTAATCCATCCCAGACAATATATTGTCTAAAATCGGGACATAAGACGTCTTAAAGATAATCTTTAAGACGCCTTAAAGACATTTATACGTAAATCGTCTGACATACATCCTAAAAATAATCTTTAAGACGTCTTATGTCCCGATTTTAGACATTATGTTATCTGGGACACTACTCCATTATGCCCTGCGACACTTTTTATGCCCCAAATTCCCCTGCATCGTGTCCCACAAATTTCTATGGATTTCGATCAAATTTCACTGCGCCGAATAAGCAAAAACTCGGTATTTGAATTAATGAAGCTTGACGAGAGCATTCTCCCCGAACCTTACGAACTCGAAGATTGATCTGTATCGAAGCGTGGAATTCGTTCTTAATAAAATCGGGCCGGAAGGCAAGCACATATCTGTCGGGGAGGACATCCTTGGACAAGCGGTGCTCGAGATCCGCGAGCGGCTCGTCGTCAATATCGCAGCCAGTTTCTTGAAAGCGGCCGATATGAAGATAATTTATATTCAGGCAGACTATCGTAATCAAAAAACCGTGATAACGCATCGTGGGCTGTTATCAAGACACACGCTCCATGTCCAAAGGTTCCTTATCTCACTAGGTCAAAACGGCTGGGATACCCTTTACTCGCAGGGATAACGCGCTTTAGAGACGTCTCGATTGATTTTCGGGATTACAAGAGAGAGAGAGAGAGAGAGACAGAGAAGGTGCATGCCCCGAACACTGCGGGTTATTGTGACAGATTAAACCGAGCGAATCGCATCTCGACAGTTAACATTGGATGCAGATTACGTTACGGGTGTTGCGCAACGAAAATCAAACGCGGCGTCGGGCGGCGGGAGAATTTAGCTTTACCAGCTGCCGTTTATGCGGCGTAACCGTATACCAGCGTTTGGATACGGCACTAATAATCCTCTGATCGCGCGTATCTTCCTGTATTACCGACACATTTATTTAACAACAATCCGCTGTGTGCACGAGGGGGTATCAGAATCGGGAAAAGAGGAGACGCGCACACACGACTGGCTTCGTTACTCTTCTAATGCCCGACGACGACGTGCGCACGTGTGCGAGCACGTGTCCACGAAGCGTGAAATAGGAGTAAATCGGAGATTCGGGTGTCCGCGTTTGGCCCCTTTCGAAACCCCGATGCTTGGATATTCTTTACGCTTGTAAACGGATATCCCCGCGGGCCACCGTAAAGGATACCCGATAACGTTACTATATGCGAACATCGATTCGCACGTGTGCTGACCGCGCGGATGGGCCCGTGAATTGCGTCTCGCGCCGTGCTTCTTCATCCGCACGTGGAAGTAACTGCAAGAGGAGCTCGCGTTTGTGCGAGCGAACGTCGTTGACGACACCGACGACGAAAGTACGATGCCAATTGCGCGATCACAGAGAGACAAGCGCCGAATAATCGCGTTTATCGGGACCAATGTCCCCTTTTTAGAGCAGAGTAGAATTATATTTTTCTGGATGTGTATTTCTGCCTTTCTCTCTTCTTTCTCAACAAAATCATTTTCTTCAATCAATTTCAGGTGGTAGAATTTTAGTAGAATTTTACCTCTCAGACAACATAATGTCTAAAATCGGGATATAAGATCATCTTTAAGATGTCTTTCAGACGATTTATGTATAAATGTCGTATAAATATCTTTAAAGCGTCTTAAAGATTATCTTTAAGTCTTATGTCCCGATTTTAGACATTATGTTGTCTGGGTTTGAACTTTAGTCGTAGAAAAATATGTGAAAAATTGAAATGTCATCATAAATAATGACCTACCTTGACATTTTCAATGAGTTAACTCCAAACTGCTCAGAGAACCTGTTAGTATAAATTGAAATCGCGAGAATTGAAACACCCTGTAGGGCAACCTGGCCCATTTATGCGTAATTATGATATTTCACATTTGCGTGTAGATAACGTGAACTATGTGTGAGATGCCATCTATGTAGGTAAATAATCTATGGATCTCGTTTAAAGAACATATGACTTACTCAGAAATTAATTAAGGAAAGTTTATATTTTTAGTTAATCTCTGGAATCTCTTGACGGGTAAATGTATAAACGTTTTCTAACCTAGAAAGGACAAAACGTGCCAGAATTATTCTGGATGCACCCAGGATATTCTGAAAAGTGCTCTAGGATTTCCTAAATATCAGGATACACTCACGTTTAGAAGATAATTTCAGGATATTTTGCGATAGCTAGATAGATTTATTGGATATAATTGATAGATAAATTTGTTGGAAGATATGACAGATTTGCGGAAATATGAACTGATGAAATACTTGAAACAATATTTACTTGTGCGTGTATACAGAGTATTTAAAAAGAAAAACAAATTCGATCAAACTACAATATACAATATATTTCGCTTCCTGTTTCTTACTCTTTATTTTCTTCTAACTAAAAGATCGAGATTGAAATAAGAAAGTGACAAACAGAAAGAAAAGCAGAAAGCAAAGAATACATTGTAGATCAAACTTAAGTCTTACGCCAGAAAAAGACAGAGAACAAAAAGTAAAAAGCAAAGAACACATCGTAGATCAAGCTTTATATCGAAGTAACTATTTCTCCATATGTGTGTTAACGGTTTTTTGAAGCGTCCTGTACATTACACGGACAATACGTAAACAATCCGCGTGGACGTAATCTTGAAATCTACTCCGTTTCAAAGTACCACCTGAAGTCGGCGAGTAACGCTTCCGCACTTGTAAATCGAGATAAAGTATCGACGCGAGGAAGAGAAAGAAAGAGACAGAGAGAGAGAGAGAGGCTCGCGCGATCGGTGGCGCCTCCGCCAGTCCGGCGCTCTGCGTTTCGCTCCGGTTTCGCCGGCGGGCGCGAGTGGCGGCAGCTCGTGGCGGCGCGGCCAATCGGTTGTCTCGAATGATCGCTGCGCGCGGAGTGCTGCGCGACCGTCTCCTGTCCGCGAAGCCGTCAGTGTGCGCGCCGCGGAGACCCAGAGAGACAGACATCTTGTAGTAAAATTTAGCGGCGTGGTGTCTCGACTGTGGGTGTCGGTGTCACGGTTTCGTGTCGCGGTGCTTCGTGTCGTTACGGTGTCCCGGTCCACGTCGTCGTCGTCGTCGTCGTCGTCGCGGCCACCGACGTCGTCGCCGCCGCCGCCGTCGCCGCCGTCGTACTCCACGTCGTCCTCGTCGCCACCGCCGCCACCGCCGTCGCCGACGTCGTCGTCGTCGTCGCCGTCGCCGTCGTCGTCGTCGTCGTCGTCGTCGCCGTCGCCGTCGTCGTCGTCGTCGTCGTCGCCGTCGCCGTCGTCGTCGTCGTCGTCGTCGCCGTCGCCGTCGTCGTCGTCGTCGTCGTCGTCGTCGCCGTCGCCGCCGTCGCCGCCGCCGCCGCCGCCGCCGCCGCCGCCGCCGCCGCCGCCGCCGCCGCCGCCGCCGCCGCCGCCGCCGCCGCCGCCGCCGCCGCCGCCGCCGCCGCCGCCGCCGCCGCCGCCGCCGCCGCCGCCGCCGCCGCCGCCGCCGCCGCCGCCGCCGCCGCCGCCGCCGCCGCCGCCGCCGCCGCCGCCGCCGCCGCCGCCGCCGCCGCCGCCGCCGCCGCCGCCGCCGCCGCCGCCGCCGCCGCCGCCGCCGCCGCCGCCGCCGCCGCCGCCGCCGCCGCCGCCGCCGCCGCCGCCGCCGCCGCCGCCGCCGCCGCCGCCGCCGCCGCCGCCGCCGCCGCCGCCGCCGCCGCCGCCGCCGCCGCCGCCGCCGCCGCCGCCGCCGCCGCCGCCGCCGCCGCCGCCGCCGCCGCCGCCGCCGCCGCCGCCGCCGCCGCCGCCGCGATAATCACCGTCCTCGTCTGAACCGTCGGCGTTCTCCAAACTACTACTACTACTATCCATAATCGTGCGGTGGTGTCGCGTTCGCGGTGAGAATCTCGCTCGATCTTTCTCGTCGCCGTCGTCCCTGTCAACGAAGTCGTCGCTATCGCCATCTAATCGCCATCGTCGCCGTCGCCGTCGTTGTGCGGATCGCGCGTGGTCCAGCGATCCTAGAGTGAGCGAACGAGCGAACGAACCAACAAGGCTCGCGCGAGCCCAAAGCTATCATCCCCCCCGCAAGATTCGTCGATACTCGTCTCGCGTGCACCCGCGAGTGCACTCGGGTGCGCCTACCCCCCCCGGGTGCGAGGAGGGGACCGCCCGTGAAATCAAGAAAGAGACAGAGAGATAAAGAGAGAGAGAGAGAGAAAAAAGAGAGAGCGAGAGAGATACGAGGGAGCAGAACAGCTGAAAGAGAGACGCGTGTCTCCTTCCTCTCGTCCGTGTGTCGGCGGTATCATCGTCAAGAACGCCCATGAACAGTTCCTAGGCACCGATGTGCCGCGTCGTGCGATAACTTCCGTCACCTCTCCGTCACCCTCCCTCCCCCCCACCCCCCTCCCCAGGTCGACCGTCCGCACGTCCGCTCTCTCCCTCCCGGCGGCGTATTTCCGTGCGCGCGTGTGTTGCGTGTGTGTGTGTGTGTGTGGCGGCCGCGCCGGGCTCTCGAGGTGAAAATACCGCCCTCTCCTTCCACCCAACCCCTCCGTGTACGCGGAAGGTAGGGCGCCGCTATCTCGCGAAAGCGAGTAAGCACGCGAAACAGGGAGGCAGAGGAGGAGAAGGACGTCGAGGAGGAGGAGGAGGAGAGAGGAGGAGGAGGAGAAGGAGAAGGACGAGGAAGATAGAGAAGAAGGAAGGAAAGAAGGAAGACCGGGGGGTGCGTGCGAAAAGACGGTGGGAAAAGGAAGAAGCGGAATAAAAATATAGCGGGCGGAGTTGTGTGACACGGGCGAGAAAGACAGCGCGAACGGAGATCCGGACTATTCGGAGTGAGCAGTGAGAAGCAGAGATAGATAGATAGATAGAAAAGGAAAGAAAGAGAGGAGAGAGAGAGAGAGAGTGTGAGAGGTGCCCACCCGTCATTTATCCCGATACAGCATGACCTCAAACAACTCACAGAAGCTCTCCACGACGGATCGAGTGATCAAAAGTAAGCCAACCGCATTAAATACATTTGCGAGCATCGCACGATGCGATCCGACGGACAGATGGACGGACGGACGGAGCAACGCATGTTCGCCCGACCAATGCGCGTGAATAAGTTGGGACGCGTGCTGCGAGTGATGGAGCGATTATGCGTGCGCGTTCGCGTATGCAAATACGTGCGAGTCCGTCTCTGTCGTCCAGCCGCCTCCGTCGGTAACGTCGCCGTCGTGTCTGCCCGCCGGTGTTGCATTTGTTGCTCTTTGCTGCTTCATTTCGCGTCGCGACAGCGAGGCTCGAGGCGTCGCGGTGCGACGCCTCTCGGTGTTGTTCAGTCGTGCAAATCGCGACGTTGTTAATTGTCGAAACGCGACGAGCACTTGGAGCTCGTCCTCGGAGGAGTCGCACAGCGACTGGTTTCAAGCCTCGCGCGCGCGCGCGCGCGCACCAACGAGCTCCGCTCTGCTCCGCTCCGCTCGGCACGAGGAGCGGAGTGAGTAGGCGCGTGAAAACACGCCGCGTGTCGTGTGCACGCGATTGATTTTCTGCCTGGCGCGGCGCGGCGCCATTGCTATCGACCTGACCCGGCGGTGCTCGTTGGGAACGTGTCGCGTTTTGCGAACGGAACGAAATCGCTTTCTCCACTGGCTGGAGAAGGAGCCACGACGACGACGACAACGTCGTCATCGTCGTCGTCGTCGGGGTGGATGGTCCACCATGCATTGGAGGCAACTCCAACTCGCTTGACAACTCGTCGAGTCTGGTAACCCGGCCCGCAGCGCGGCAACCTAACCTTCTAACCCCGCGCTACCAACCCCCGCCATCTTCCCCGGAGGTCGCGTCGCTCGGTTAGCCTCGTTTCCGCGGGGTCGAGGAACGCGATCGTCTGGAGGACGCGTCTTCTCGCGCGTCTACGGGTGCGACGCAACTCGACGCAGCGTAACGTAACGCAACGCATCGCCGAGAAACAGCTGACCGTGCGATATGATGCAATGAGACGCGACGCGCCGCGTCGCGTCGTCGTCGTCGCCGCCGTCCTTCTCGTCACGCGTATGCACGTATATACGCGCGTACGTGTGCGAATACGCGTGCGACGCGGGGACGTGACTCGCGTTGCTAAGGAAACGACGTCGAGGCGTCCGGCTCGCCTCCCGGAGAACTCGAGCACATCCCGGTTACGACTAAGAATACTTGTTGCATATTGCGTCTAAGGCTCATATTAATAGCTCTTATATTCGGAGAAAAATGCATGGCGCCGGTGACTGTATAGGTGACAATTATGCGACACTTGTATGCAGGGTCAGTGTATATAGTTTAACAAATTATTTTGTGGTTGTTGCAAGTAAAGCTGGATGCGTAGAGAAAAAGACTGTTTCGAGAAAGTTTTTATTTTTGACATGTGAATTTTTTAAAGTAGGATTACATGGCGTTGAACGAGAATAAGTTACTTGCATCAATACATTTTATATTACTTAACGAAGAAAAATATATTTCTATTATTCGAAAATTATTTTTGCAAATGGAAAGCATAAAATATTGAATTCAAAATATGACGTCTTTAAATGTCGGTAGAAAATATATTGTTATCAAAATAATATTGCACTTTTTATAAGACTGTTATAATATTCAAATAGATCATAATACTATTGAAATTCAAGACCTTAAAGTTCTTTTTTAACAAAATTATATATCATTGCTTATACATAAAATAATGTCTCTGTTAATTTGAATAGATTAGTTTTAAGTAGATACTCTAATTGTTTTTTAGTGTGTATACAGTTCTTTAATTATCTATATAGTCCTAATCATATTTAGCTTTAGTTACAAAGTAATTTATTATTGCAAAATAGTTTTTTTTTTAATTATATACGTTGATCCTAAAAATAGTTATCACCTATACAGTTGCTATTATCATATATTTCTCTCTGTGGGCGTACTTAAAATTTGTCTCACACATACGTGAGATGTCCAGATTTGAATTTCAAGTTATGTTAGAGTTCTTCAATTGAGTATCATACGATATTCATTACATATTTGTAATCGCAATTTAATTGACGAACTATTAATAATCGTATTAATAATCGTTACTTTAAATTTGTCTGAAACATTCAGACCAGAGTTTAGAGTTAGAACCGAGTTTTTTATTTGAATCATATGATATACGTAACATTAAATTTGTGATTGTGATTCAAGTGAAAAATTTACATATTCAACTCTCAATTCCAGGCGAAGAATCTCATTTGAGACAAGTTTCAAGTCACAGCTATTAATAGGCATAAGTCTGCATTAATTAAGGTGACCAGATTTCCCAGCCCTGAATTTGGGACACTTCATAAATGTGTGGAGCGGAAGGCGGGGGAGGGGGATAAAAAGATCCGAAAATTATTTGACAATCATTAAAAATGATGACAAATCGATGTCCCGAATAGCATTCGAAAAAATTCGGGACAAAGGGTGAAAAATCGGGACATCTGGTCACCTTAGCTGTATGTGTCGAGAAGGGAGGAGATTACTTCATAATAATGTACTTACGATATGTCCTGACGACTGCACATCGTTGTTTTTGGCACTCTAATACTTATTTCCGCAGGAGACTCACAGGACACAAGCGAAAAACGTATGGAATACGGAGCGTTGTGTCCATGGCAGTTGCTCGGCATGAAAAAGATCGCAGACGCGCGCGCTGCCAATTACGTACACCAAAAGTTCATTAGTGCGCCAAAAATGCCAAAAGTCCATGAATGTAAACGCGCCAGTGATACGAACGAAGTCGCGCGTCTACAACGACGCGATCTGTACGGCGAACGCCTTAACTACTTGCTCGAGTTACTAACCGCTCTATACCAATAGCGTTCGTTTCGCACTACGAGGTTGTCATCGTGGTTACTCAATCTAGACGTTGGTAATGAATCGCGCGAAATGCTCGATCTTTACGCGCCAAGCAGCAGCCATGGGCACGCATCGATCCACATCGCTCCGCATTTCTCGTGTCTTTTATCCGTCGAAAGTGAGTCTCGCGCGTTAATAAGTCTCGGGAGTGTCGAGAATAGCGATGTGCGATCGCCGGGGCGTATCGTGAAGACGTCATTTGTAAGTAATCTTCTCGTTTCTCTTCGCGGTATATGCGGCCGGTGTTTGTCGCGACGTGTCGCGTCGACGTCCTTTACATTTGCTAAAAACATCGACTCGCTCAAGTAGCAATAGAATCGGGTGGTCGTCGGATTTATTGAACGGGAATTAGAGATGCGATGACAATCAGAGAGAGAGAGAGAGAGAGAGAGAGAGAGAGAGAGAGAGAGAGAGAGAGAGAGAGAG